TCAGTCAGGGCCGGGGGCGGGATTGAGGTTTAGCGGCTCTTTAAGGGCGGTGCATGGCACGGGGTTGTACCTGCGGGTGGGGGAAAGAGCAGCGACACCCGTGCCGTGTTTTCTGAGTAATAAATCCGGCATTTTTTGGTGCACGAACAGGGAATCCTGCCTGCCTGCTCTGTACCTCTCAGTTTTCGATGTAAGCAGGCGCGGTGCCCTGTGTGTGACAGGATTTGGGACACAGAGCCTTGCTGCAATTGCCTTTTCAGAGGATCTGACACATGTCTAAATATAAAGCAGAAAAAACGCCAAGAACTAAGCCACTCTTCATTTTGAAAGATAATCTTGCGTTTTATGTAAATTGGATTCCAACCACATTGAAGTCTTTAAGTCCAGTCACTTCTCTGCTGCTGTCCCAGGACTTAGCAATGTATTTCTGTCCAGTTGCTTGGCTTTTCTATTTTTGTGGCAATACTCTCCTGCTATTTATATATAAAAGGCTGTAAGTAAAACCTTGGGTTTTTTCCCACCTTCCAGACCATGTGTAATCTGTGCTCAGGCACCCTGCCTGACCTTGCTTTGTTTGTTTTCTTGGGCTTATCTGGTAAAGTTCTATAGATCTGCATCTTAGGTTTCACTTTCTTCACTGTTGCAGTCTGACTGTGCCTTGGTCTTTTCCGAATGCCATCTTCTGTATGTATTTTTAATAGTGTGTGCACTCTTGATGCTCTGTTTTGAACAGTTTCAGTGTAACTGAGAAGAAAAAAACTTCCACTTTGGTATGATTTTGAAGTCCTCCAGTTGTCAGATCTCTGTGCTGGACAGTCTACGCACTGTTCTGTTTAAGCTCCATGTAAACAGAAGTGCTGGGTTTTTGAGGCCCGATCACTTACAGCTGTCTTCAGAACAGTTAACAGGCAACCTTTATGAAACTAGCTTTTAAAAATACATAAGCCCAGTAATGCTTTCGGGCTGGGTAGGGCTGGGTGTACTTTTCACTCAGTTCCTACACTGCTTCAAACCACAGCTCCTATGCTGCAGATCAGTGTCAGGACAGTAACGTCTTGTTTTCTCCTTGGAGACAGCATGGCTTCATGCAGCCAAAGAAAACCAAGTGTTACTAAATTTAAGCCTCAAGCTAAACTTCAAGTTTCTATAGACCCAGCTTCATATACTGGCTGCGGCAGCTGTCTCACTGCTGCTGTGTTTTCAGATGGTTCAAATGTCTTTGAGAATAGAAGAGTCATAGTTTTAGCACATGCGGATTCACTTACTGCTAGGTAGGGTAGGCCACTGTTAGTAATGCTGACATGACATTTAGCATTCTCTTTTTTTGACTGCTTGGCTTACTGAACAGTTTGGTATCTGAAACAGTGCACAAAGGACTCTGGAGCAGTTTAAGGTGAGGAAGCAATCTTACAGAATCAATGTTCTTGAGAGACTTCCTCAAAGAAGTGCAGAGGTGGCTGAAAATGGCTCGAGAAATGAAAAAATGGCAATAGAAGGTTGTGAGAGGAGGCCATAATGTATTACCAAATAGTAACACTGTTTTAATACCTAGTTATGTTTTCGGAGGGCATTTCTAAACTAGTACAGGAGCAGGGAAGAATCTTCAAATCCTCTTCTTTCAAATAAAGGTTAAGAATGACTGTTCTGTTTTTACAGGTTATCTTATGAATGAAAGAGCTGAACAGATTGTACATGAATTCTAGAGGGCACCTAGGTTGAAGCAATGGAGAGAATGGTACTAGTATGCATTTTATTTTTAGAATGTAAAAAGACATTGATTTCAAGGGGAAAAAAATCTGACTATAGTAAGTAGCAGGAAATACAGGAGATAAACTTTTAGCCAATTCATAAACTTCTAATGACTCAGTTCATTTGAAACCTTTTGGGGGGAATCACACTTATCATCCCTTGACAATATCTGGTACTTATTCAGGTTTCACAGAACACACATTTTTGTATTTTGTTTTACAAGCACTTTTCTTTGACTTATTTTGTTGGAGAACATGCACCGCAAGCATCTTTCGTAGAGGGTCGTGAAATTTCTGCTTATTTGCTGAATCCGCCTTTTAATTTAGAATTTGCTTCACAGGAGCTGTGGAGATGTCTCGTAAGAGCCCGTTTGCCTCCTGGCTTTGTGCAATGCTCCACTGCTTTGGAAGTTACATACTCGCTGATCTGTTACTTGGAGAACCACCTATTGATTACTTCAGTAATAACTCCAGCGTCATCCTGGCCACAGCAGTTTGGTGAGTCCTTTGTACTTTGCCTTATTTTTAAGCATGAGAAGCTGTGTATGAAACCACCTGGTGCAAAGGGAGGTATTGTTTGTGTGTTATCTTGCTTGGATTAACTGGGGAAAGACGAGGGGGAGTGAGGTAGTCTTTAAGTCTTTTGTATTTCTAGACCTAGTTTCCAGTTTCTCTGACCAGTTGTCCAGTGTGTTGATTATAGGGGTTGGGTCCAGTCCAATCGCCAGGCGTTTCTATTCATAGCTGCTGCAGCTGAACCGTGGCCAAAGAGCAAAAGCAGCATGTGCTGCACTGATACCACATATAGTAGAGGAGGGGCGCACACAGGAGATCTGGGGGCATTTTCTTCATCGTGTTAGTGAAATGTGCACAAATTAACCACAGTTACTCCAAGTTCAAGTTCCTCAGTGCATATGGGTGGTGTGTGCTTGACAGAACCAGCATTTCCTTCTCCCTGACATAATTCAGGCTAACACCACAGTACTCCTAATCCTCTCTATATGTCCCAGATCAGGACAAACAAATAGGTCCTTAAACTCTTTGTGGTTTTGTTCCAGGTATTTGATATTCTTCTGTCCCATGAACCTCTTCTACAAGTGTGTTAGCTTTCTGCCGATGAAGCTCATCTTCGTGGCAATGAAGGAAGTGGTCAGAGTTCGCAAAATCGCAGCCGGGGTCCACCACGCTCATCACCGTTACCACCACGGGTGGTTCATTATGATGGCTACTGGATGGGTGAAAGGTGAAACCTGAAATACTCCTAATGCAGCAGGGAGGCACCCAGCCCTGAGGGGAAGGACAGGAGAAGCTGTGGGTGAAGGTTAAGTGCTGACCAGCAGGCTGGGTAGTGGACGTGGTCAGCTGGCTTCCATCAGTCAAGCTCCTGGGACACAGGCATTTGTCCATACGTGCAGAATGGTTGTCAGCTGAGTCATCAACTAACTTTAATGGAAGCATAAAGAATTGGAGTCACTGTCAAATATGGGTGTAGAATTTAGGAATATTTTTATTCCTTCTGCTGTATTCTGCTGCCTTTGGCCTCACCTCTGTCTTTTCAGGGGGTTTCTGTCAGTGTTGAAACAGCGCAGCCGGTTTTCCTTTAGCTTTTGTTTGGAGCAAGCATTTGAGCATCAGTAAATGGAACAGAGGGAAATGCCCTTTCCCTGCATCAGGAAACACTTCATAGAGAGCCTAGAAAACATCTGTTTTGCTCTGTTGTTTTAGGCAAACTTCTTTTAAATCTGGGAAAAGTGTCATGAAACTTTTGTTCCCCTTAGGTCATCCCTATCCCTTGGGGATCTGGAAAAGACAGCGGAGCTCTACTCAGTTCTAGCTGTTCCCTTTTACTGTTTTACAGGTTCTGGTGTTGCCTTGATGTTGAACTTCGAGCAACTGCTGCGTGGGGTCTGGAAGCCAGAAACAAACGAAATTCTTTATATGTCCTTGTAAGTAGGTAGCCTGTAAATTCTCTGTCAGACCAAAAATGGAATTTAAAGAACCATTCAAGACTGAATACAAACCTAGAAAACTTATTTTCTTTTTCTTGTAGCCCTACAAAAGCCAGTCTGTATGGCACAGTCCTCTTCACTCTGCAACAAACTCACTGGCTCCCTATCTCCGAAGCCAACCTCATCTTCTTTTTTACCATGTTCATGATAGTTTGCAAGGTAAGTTTACAGCAGGTCGCTGCAATGAATTTACAGAACCAGAGAAAGGGTACAGACTTAAACTGGGAGGCTTCATCTTCCTAAGCCACAATTGAAGGCATTGGCTGTACATAGCAGGAAAGATCTGCTCAGGAAATTATAGCCTAAATTCTCCATCATATAGGCAGCGTGGTAGTACAGCCCTGAGTCATGTAGCAATAGGGACTTTTATCTAGGGTAAGCAGAATGCCCCTTACTAGTTAGTATTTCCTAGACAGTGTATGTGATCTTTAACTTGAAATATTCACTGTTGCATGGCAGGTTTTCATGACGGCCACTCACTCTCACGCCTCACCTTTTGCTCCAGTGGAAAACTTCATCTGCCCAGTTTTCTTTGGCACCGTTTCCAGTGGACATACCAGTCATCATCATAATCAGCACGGGGCGTCCCATGAGGTTTCCCATCCTCCACCTCCTCCTGCAAAGTCAAAAGAGGAGCTAAATGAAGGCACAAGGAAAAGGAAAGCAAAAAAAGCTGAATAAAAAAGCAGCCACATAGTAAATAGGCCAAGAAAATTCTTCCAGAGCTGAGTCTCAAAGCCACCTGTGACCTCCTTTAACTGCAGTCCTCCCTCAAGACTCCAGAGGAGAGGTGGAAGCCAGGACACTGCCAGGCGGGTCCCTGAATTTCATCTGTGTTCTCTGTGCTGCTGCTTGCTTCTCAGTCTCTGTCTCTCTATTCTGATCGTATTTTCAGGGATTTGTAGATCTGTGCCAGGATGACAAGTGGGTGCCAGTTCCCAAGCTGTCAACAATTACGATGCAGCATTTTCAACTGATGTAAAATCTTTCACTGTCTTTATTTATGAATGGAGGTAATGGTTTGTGCTTCTGCAACCTTTAAGTTCTTTTGAATTTTCATTGACCTTTTTGTTGTCTAGCAAAACAACAAACTGTTTAGACACAATCAATGTGGAAATTTGATTTCATACTCAAGGAAATTAAATGGTCTTACATGAGCCTGATCTGATTTTTCCTAGCTTCGCCATCTGCTGTATCTCCAATTAATGTGACATTTTATATGGAGTAAGGACATTCACTCTGGTGTCCTAGCCAGACTCCATTTCTCTTGCCTAAGTTCCCTCTGATTCTTAATGGCTAGGACATTGTTACTTTCTTAATGAAGTCTGTGTTTGCAAGAGCTTTGAAGCTGTGAAACACTCCGAGTGCTATGTATTGGTACCGTTATTATTCAAAACTTGTGTAGCGTTGCTGCACGTTGTTAATAATAATAGTGTGTCCCACCTCAAACCTGATTGTATTTAACTAGAGAGGAAGCATGGTTTGTTTGTAATCCTGTGAGATACAAGAAGGGTGTGTGAGTGTAAATAAGTATTTATTACTATTTATTTATAATTGCCAGGGCACCTAATTAATGGATCTGAAACTGGCTCTTTTAAAATGTTGCATCTTTATATAGAGAATTGGAAACTTCTAAGTGTGGTCCTAAGCCCACAGCTACGCGCTGGTTTGTGCTTGAAGCAGTGATTTTGGTGTGCTAAGGGACAGCCTGAACACTTGCTGGATGCAGGCAGGAACATTTCCTATATTCTTAAATGAAGATACAAAGGCTGAAGAAGTGGATTTCACAGTAGCTGATTCAAACTGCTTTAAAGGACTGATAAAAGCACAGCAGCTGAAGATACCGTTCATCCTTTGTAGGTCCCTGGTCTGTGAAAGCAGCTTGTGCCCAACAAGTCAAGAATATGAAATGCCTTGCATGGCTCAAGGAGGAGCCCGTCAGTTTGGTCATGTTCTGCTTAGTGAATACTGGCTTTTAGACTAGTTTTAAGCTGTTCTTATGACTGATTTTTTTCTTAAAAGTGTCATCTTAAGCATTGCACCCAAAAGACCAGAACTCATTCGGAGCTTTTTTTAATGACCAAGGGCTGGGATCACTGTGGTAAAAATCTTGCAATTGGGAATATAAACAGAAAGGTTTAAGAAAAGCATTTTGTTGGGTTTTTTTTTTTGTGTCCCTGTTCAAAATTGAAACGAATGGTTAAAAAAAAATAAATAGATTTCTTGTATGGAAGCAGATGAAAGCCAGTACAAAAAGGTCAAATGATTTGTGGGCTTGGGTTTTGACAGTGCCTTAATTTTGTGAGTTTCAAAACTCCCCTTCAGTAGAAAACAGGAATTCAACTGTCTGGTTTTGCAGATCCTGGTCTACTGAAACCTGATGTATCACTAGCATGCACAAGACTATAAATCTTTTATGAGATGTCTGATTCGAGGGGAATTTTGTTTTATAAAAGCCACAAATAAATAAAAATTGTGAAGTGACTCTGTCCGCTGGCACTTGAGGAAATACGTGTGTTTCTTTTACTCTTGCCGGTCTCGGAAGCCACACGCTCCTTGATCTGCTTTAAGTCTCCTTGATATGGTGACAAAATGATTCCAACTGGAGAGATCAGACTTTGATGTCCTACAAGCATGCCTGAATGTATTATAAGTGGAAATAACATGGTAAAAGGTCCATTGATTTTGTTGTATTTGTAGTGTTGTCATCCAAGCAGACCTTCTGAGATTTCAGGGAATGAAATAAGGAAACTTCCTTTGGTGTTTATACTGGTTGACTCTGTCATTCTTTTTGTCACTATAAGGGGAAGGAGGACATTCACCTAGGACAGGTAAATATACACACACATATACAAACACACACAGACAATTCTTGCATATTTATATGGAGTTTCAGTATTCCTATTTAAAACTGAAAAAAATGAAAATGCTTTGAGCAAGTGTGATTATTTATGTAGTGTGGTACTCTAAACTGCTGCGTTTTCAGTGCCAGAGCCCTTGCTCTTCTGAGTCTTTTGGAGTCCAGTCATAGCTGCTAACCAAGCACAGAGAGGAGAAATAGTCCAAGAGATGTTAAAACTAAAGTTCTGTGCACCTCCAGAGTACCTTGTCCGGAATAGGATTAGTATTGAGAAGCCAACTGCCATAAAGAAGAGTCATAAATTTCATGTAGTGAAGCCTTTCACAGTGAGAGGTACAGAACCTTTCTTGAATTTCCATGGCTCAGCACTGGTAGTCTTTGGTACAATTCCAGACAGGTGTCCTTAATCCCAAGCAGCGGAGATGGATCTTTCAAAACGCAGCATATTTTAACCACTGCCGCAGGGACACAAGCTCTATAGGGCTACTTCTACACTTCTGGGAAGCTCTACTTTACTTGCATATACATTCTTCCTTAAGACTCTGCTCCAACCAGAATGAAAATGGTAGCTGGGCATTTCCTAGAGTTATGGAGTAACTCACTGCCGTGGCACTGAGATGGGAGTGATGAGGAAAACATGACACAGTCAATCTACCTGGTGCTAAATGAGGACCTGCAAAGGGCTATTGATTTTCTGAATGGTTTCACTTGTCTCCCCCCAGATCTCATTTAAAATATTTATTAATACTCCTTAATTTTCCTCAGGACCTGGATGAACAATAAACAAGAGCAGGCTGATGAGAGTAAGTATTTCAAGTGCTTTGAAAAATCCTATGATGTCTTAAGAGTCCCATGCTGTGCAGAATGTTCCCAGCTCCAAACTCTGTTGTGGCACAGGGTAGAGGAGAAACATGCCAGGGCTTAGACTTTCACGGGACAGACGTCATTCCCTCCAAAGATGTTCTGATCTGATAACTACTGATACTAACTCCAGTGAGATGTAGCTAAATTTAGCAATGGGTTTAATCCTGAGAGAGGCCCTGGTTGCCTGATGGAAAAAGCAAAGTGTTTCAGTTGCTGCTCTCAGCATTTCTTGTTGATGGACAGGTTTCCCTTTTCTGTTACATAGAGCAAGCCAAACCCAGCATCTATGGCTTTTCCATCGTTGCAGATCAGCTTCACAGATAGGGAAAGCCCTGCAGCCCTGTGTTAGTAGAAAAAACCCTAAACCCATAGGATAATTTAACAGAAAACATTAAAAATTCTTCACAGTAAATGAACTGAAGTAAAAAAAATGGGAGGCCACAAGATAAAATTTCTATGCTGAAGAGCTTGTGAGAATGGGCAAAGCCAATGCAATAGAGCGCCAAGCTGGAGCAACCAGTGTTCTTGTTTTATAATTTTATAATTAATGACAGCATGTACATTCTTCCACATTTTGTTCAAATAGTAACCAAATTCTATAATCCAGCTAAGTGGCAAGACTCGGGAGATAAAGACGGATGTTACCTTGGTCATTTCCTGAGCAACAGAGAAGTTGTTTCTTTCAGCACCTGCCAGGTGATGAGCTGCCAATTCCCACCTTCTTCCCGCAGCGGATTTCATGGCTGGTTGGTGCTTTCAAGGTGTAAAGCACTAGATCATTGCTCAGGGTGTCAGTCCAAATAGCACACAGGACACATAGAAGCATTAAAAATCACAGCTTTATGCATTTCACAGTAGCACATCTTTATTTGAGTCCTTAGCTGTAATTTGCTTTAAAGTTTTTGTGCCATTTTTCACAAGACCTAACTGGCTGCTGTCAGACACGACACTGAGGATTAAATGAAAGGTGAAGCTGGTATTGCATGGCATTTGCTGTGACATTAGACACTCAGCTTTCTTCTGCAGCAAAGACTTTTCTCACAAGAAATTTCAGTTCTTTGCCAAAATAATGAGAAATCAGAATATATAGCTATCAAAGTCTAGAAAGCTCACAAAGATAGTTTGCATTTAGTTATTAGTTTTTTCTCTCTCTCCTAGGAAGACAGGACACTGACAAGGCAAACTACTGGCGAGGGAGAAAATACACTGGTGATACCAAAGCTGAGTCACTCACTGCACACAGGGCTGATACTGGTCTCTTTAGGATGCTCCTGCTCATGGCCTCAAGGAGATCTGGTTTGTCCTGTGTGCCCATCACTGTAAGGAAAGGCAAATTAAAGGGGTTTGGATTTCATCAGACACCAACAGTGTGCTTCTTACTTGGTAAACACCCACAAAATTACCTCCCAGCTAAGAATTTAATCCTGCTCTCATGTGGTCTGTAAAGGCAGCAGTCTGTGAGCAAGCTGTCAGGGGATGACGGCTCACGGAACAGACAGACGGTGAGAAAACAAGCTCCCTGCCATGCCGGAGCCCACGCTGCCATCCTGACTCACAGTTGCTCCTCACTTCACCCCTGTGATGGCACTGCTGACAAAAGGGAGATGTTGATAGTGCAAAGATCAACATTCATGAATGTCTTTGAGTCTGCTCTCTTTTACACTTGCACATTTCTATCTTTCACACCTTATCCCTAGAAAAAGTAACACTTGTAATATTTTCTATCATGATTCTCATCTGTTTCCTTTATGTGACAAAAGAGATTTTGGGGAGGAAATTTTTTTGAAAGCTTGCAAATGTAATCTTTTAGGAAGAATCAGTAGGAGATAGTGATTTCATCTTAGCTTTAGGGCACAGGTAAACTATAGCGGTGGAATGCAGGAAAACAGGTCTGATACGTTGAGAGGCTTGAACATTTTTATAGCCTGAGGAAATCCAGAACGTCTCTGGAAAATATGTGGTTGGTTGATTTTGTTTGATTTTGATGTGCACATTACAGAAAGCTCACCAGAAACGTGTAACACACACACTGCCTTCCTGCAGAAAGCAAGCTGCTGCTTCTCCAATCATCCCAGCCCCTCACACGTCTCAGTGGAGCTGGCAGATCTCGACTTTCCAAAAAAAGATCTGCTAGTTGGGGACTTCTGGTCCCGCTGCAACCAACTGCTTGAATCAGAGAATGAGCTAATTTTCTGTTATTTCTTAGTGACAAGAATTGGTGCAATCGGTGATAATGACAGGTATATGCACTGTGAGATGCATATAGCACATCACATTTTGCAGTGCCTTGAAGAACAGCCTAAAAATCCATGACTTTAGAGTCCTAATGCTGGGTTAAATTAGATTTAGACTAATGTAGGCTAAACCCTAATGCAGGCTCTCTGTAATGTTTGTCTCTTAAGGTAAGATGCTTCGTCTCCCTGCATGTTTGATTTATGATAGATTAGGATGTTGGTTAATCTCTTCTTATTTGGCTAGATGACTGTGAAGATTAATCAAGTATTGTCTGCTAAAGGAATCAATAAATACAGATTACTAATTTTTCCTTAATTATTCCAGAGGAATACAGAGGGAGTACAGACAAGGATAGACACCAGCCTCTTAAATCTCATTTCATGAAAGGCACCAAAAAACCACAGCACATGCTCTGGCTGATACTGACATTCTGGTTTTCTCTGACATGCTCAGTTCATGGAAAAGGCAAAAAGCCAGGAAAATTATTATGATTATGGTCTCCTGTGAGTGAATCTGCTTGGCTGGCACAGCACCATCTCCGTTTCCAAAAGACACAGAGAAAGCAGCATTTCGGTCAGGAAAAGCTACACTGAACAAATACAGAAACACATACTGAAAAAGGGAAATAGCAATGTGCTGTGAATACTGGAAAACAGAGCAGCATGGAAGACAGACAGTAAAAATCAGACTCTGTGAACATGAAATGGAGACACTCGTTCTGTTAGGGCCTCGACTGAGATGGTTGCACCAGTTACCTTCGCTCCCTATGCATTCCAAGGGCATTTGGACAAAGATGTTATTTTCCTACTCCTTCTCTGTTGATAGCTGCAGTTTCCTGCCTTTGAGCTCACCACAATGGATGAGCATTGCAGCAGCACACAGCAATCCCCTCGGTGTGGGGATTAGCAGGTGGGTCATGGGTGTTGTCCTGCACGATGTAACTCAAAACTAGGAGCAAGTCGCTGGAGTTCTGTTAGCTGTAGTATCCCTCAGGAAGTCTTTTTTCTTCTCTCTTTCTGATTTCTACCTACTTGCTGTTTTTTTTATAAATTATTACATTTTTCTTTCTATCTTTTCCCCTGTGCTGCTCTTTTAGGGATGGTACCCCAGTCCAAACGTAGCCATAAAGTAGTATTTACTGTGCACAGTTTAAACACCTTCTAGTAAATTCACTATTGCACAGCTAGACAGAAGGCAAATAGTGACAGGGCATAGGCTTACTCCCTGGAAAGAAACCTGCTGTAAATGGCTGAGAGTGCCTGAACCATATATTATACTAGTACTGGTAGGCATACCTGACGCTTAAATACACGGATGAGTATTTCTGAATAGTCAAGGGTAGCAAACAAATGGACCTCAGGTGTACAGCACCTGATAGGGAGCACATTTAGTGCCTTAGAAAGAGACCCTGGGGATTGTGCCCAAGTGACAAACACAGGTTGCTATAGAGATCTCCATCCTCTTCAAATACAGATGGATCGCTCCAGGATGCAGTGAAGTTTCACTGCATCTCAGTGCAGACAGTCAACCATTTCTTACTGTTCCTGTCAAAGTAGCTGAAATTTTCCCAGGCTTCCCTTAAAAAGAGGTGCAAGGCAGCTTTCTGGAGGGAGGCACCACTGGCTGGTGCTCACTGTCATTAGTGATCTCCTCTCTAACGAGAGAGAGAACTCAGGGAGTTCAGAGAGTGGGATGAGCTTCAGTCCAGACACACGCCGGGCTCTCCTCTGTGGGAAGATGGTTCCTCCACCTTTCCAGCCCTCCAGCCTGATCCGAATCTTCATCAGCTCAGTTTTTTCAGGTAAATAAGCTGAAAAGTCCTGAAGCTGCTGAATTTATCAGCTGCTTTCTCTGCTAGAGTCTGCAAAGCGTTACAATGCGGTGGGACTGCTGTGCTTAGGAGAGAAGCTGTAAGCTTGCACCTTAATTTGAAAGTGAAGATGCCTTTAATCTGCTGCATTTTATATACAGCTTTATTCTGTCACCCCCATTTTGCACTTAGAACATGTCAGAGATGTCAGAAGTCATTAGTTCAGGAACTAACAGCATTTGCAGTGAGGCCAAATTCAGCCCAGGCACTCCTGTGCAATAGCTCAGTGCAGCGCAATGCCTGTCTGCACACAGGACAGCAAAGTCCGCAGGCTTTCTTAAAACCCTGGACAACACACATTTGCTTCCCATCCACCACTGTAACAGCAAGAAATATTTGTGAAGAACTTCTCTTCTTGGACAATATCCAAATATTTCCCACTTCCTCTGCCTACTGGGACGCAGTTGTGAGACTGAGCTCCTAAAGCTGGCAGCGGGTAGCCATGACTCAGATTTTCAGGAATTACAAAACTCAGATTCCCCTTCTTCTGAAAATCATTCACTCTGTCTCCACTTTTAAATAAGAAAACAGAGGCTGAGGTAGGCTCTCAATTCCACAAAAAGTGTCTTCCAAAGAGAGAAAATACTGCAGCATTTCCTGCAGAGGAGGTAATGTGATGACTGTGCTGGACAAGGAGGTGTTTCCAGCCTGAGCAGATGGGTCAGCACTTACAGATCAGTTACAGCTTCAGTTTCTAGAAGGAATGTACGGGAACTGCAGAGAATCTGAAATCAGTGGGCATATAAAGACACTGCTCCTGGTAAAGATTTTACCTACACCACCTGTCCAAGTTAAGGTAGACTTCACGTATTTTCAGGAACAGTTTTGGGATGAGGATGTGAGAGGTGATTTGATTTTCACCAAAGACAGGGTTATAAATTGAACCCACTCTCTCACTGGAAGGTTTGGAATTCACGTGGGCTGGAGCATAAAGTGATACAAGGATTTCCCGTAACTACCACAACCTCCGTGAGAGCTAATGAATTATTTCAGTGGTATTATGCTGAGAGTGCTTGTTCCTTGTTGGACAGCAGCGCAGACACGGTAATTCCTAACCCAAGAGAGCTCTTTCCTCATCTGTCACTGGCACAGACTTCATTAGTGATCACTTTTTACTTATAACAGTCCCAAGGAAAGCTGCAGATACAGCCATTCCCTGTCCTAATTTTAGCTCTTGTACTACCTTATCACATGATTATGTAGTGCCATAAATGTCTACATAATTTTGGGTAGAGAATATTTGAGCTCTGAAGAAATTATAATCTCATATGATAAAACATAAATAAGATGAAAAATGTCCTTTATATTACCCGTGTCTTTTAATTTTGTAGGTGTGAAAAGTATCCATGAATAGAAGACCTGTAGGTCTTCTAGGAGAGAGTGCATGCATGTAGCTGCTGGGAATGTGCACTCATGCTTGTGTCCATGTGCTTACCTTTTCTCCCGCTTGCTTTGTCTTCTTAATTAATCTTAAATTTACCTAGTCTGTTCTTTGATTTAATTCGGTGAATATGTTACTTAGAAGGTGTCACAAAGATTTTTCTAGAAAGTGGTAATCTCTCTTGTAAAAAGCATAGCAGGGGAAGCAGCCATAAAAATTTCACAGGTTTGACTCTGTATGAAAAGATTCCCTGTGGGTAGAATTGGCTTTTATTGTGGCTATTTATCATGCTGAGATGGCAAACAGCGTGCCTGAGTGATCTTAAAATAGAAAGACTTGCTGCAGCAAGATGTAAGAAATACTTTTTTCTAGATCAATGCTGCTGTGTTGTATTCTGTAACTATGCAATCCCAAATTTCCAGATCCCAAGTTTTTGTATTAGCAAATAAAAACACAGTGTGACAAGCCAGTACAGAACACTTTAAATGGACTTGAATTGGTAATGTAATAACGCGGGCACAAGCCTGCAGACTGCTGGAAACTGCAGTTTCACAAGACTTAACCCCAATTTCATCTACGTGAAACTCAACACAGATTAGATGATAGCAATGCAAACTGCTTCTTTTTCTGTAAGGTTTAACATGACATATAAACAAAGTAAAAAACAGCTCCAAATTCCTAACTTGTGTGCTGCACAAATCCTTCCATGCAGACATGGCTGCAGAAAGAGAGAGACTGCTGGAGGAAGCATACCCAGAAGCACAGGCCTTCTGTCAGAAGCACGGGCTAAAGTTTGAGGTAAATCACTTCTCTCCTGTCTGTCCTGTCCAAAAGCCATCAAAATATGTGGGATGGAGGAAAAAAAAAAACAACCAAAAACAAAACACTCATGCATTTTCCATCTCCTTAGAAGCCTCCTAGGAGTCAAATACTGCTGTACTGACTTCCTAGAACTTTTAAGTTCTGCTACATGGTCATGCATGGTTCAAATAGCCCTAAGTCTTTCACAGGAGAAATCCCTACCAAGAGATTCTGAATATCTCAGCATCTCTGGTAGAGTTCCAGTAATTAAAGTTGCACACCACTGGTGTTCAGACTAAGTAAAAAATTAAATGTGATAGAATGACTTAATTTTCCCATATCACTGTTTTTATGCTAGTATTGACTTGTCTAAGAATCTTAAAAAATATATTTTTGCACAGGTAATTGACTTGAAGTGGGGTACTTCTGAGCTTGTAGACCCTGATCACAGAAACGCACAACTCTCTCTGGAGGAAACTGAAGCCTGTCAGAAACTGTCAGCTGGTCCCACCTTCATTGAAAGTACCAGCACTGTGGTGTATACGCAATCCCTACAGCTAAAGTGAGCCATGGAGCAGGCCACACGCACTCAGAAGGTCTACAGGACAAATTAAGTGGTTTTCAGAAGTTATTAGCCTGCCTGAGCAGCTTCAAAAATCAGCTAGCTGATAGAGCTGAGATGTCAATACCTGCCAGTAGTCCCCAAAAAAGAGCCCTGACAGGCACACACACACAGTCTAGCCTTGAACGCAGAATCTCTGCAGATTAGAAAATAGCAGGGGTTATATTAGCTAGCAGATAGAAGAGGCAGATGGAGATACACATAAGGCAAGAAACACTTGTTCTGAGCTTGCTTCATAAATACCTCAATATTGAGGAGGTTTTCTCAGTAACTAGGCAATAAATACAAATTCCCCATGCAAACCCCCAGAAATGAAAATGTCATAGCAACCACCAGGGACAGAGAAGGGTGTCACACTGCAAGCCGATACCTGTTCCATGCTTCTCAAATCCCTCCAATCACTCCTTCTACCCACTGAAAGCTCTCCACGGCAGCAGCCCACCTCAGCTTCCTTGAAGCACTTTGGTGACAGCCCGGAACAGAAACCCACTCCCAAAACTTGAAGCCTTGCAGAAGGGGAGAGGAGGCTGAGACACCCAGTTCCTCAGGTTGTTTTGGTTTTAAAAAGAAAGAAAGAAAGTTTGCTGAACACAGAGAATAAACACACAGTCTCAGGGGGCATAATTGAAGCCAGAAGTAAATAAAGAACCTATTAAGTATTCGTGCAAGTTGTGCCTGATTTCCTTTGAGATGCTTCCACCAGAGGCCAGCAATGGAGAGACAAAGACCATGAGAGCCTCATCACAGCATTACTGCACCCAGGAGCTCAGCATCACTGAGCTCCCTGCAGCTCACACCTCTGTTAGCTGCACCACATCGCATACCCAGATGGCACCAGTAGGCACTCAGGCAGTATCTTCCTCAAACTGGTCCTCAGTGTGCACCTAGAAAGCTCAGCAGAGCCAGTAACCAAGGTCTGACTACTCCCTCTGTCCTTTATGCACACCAAAAGCGCATTGCTCAGGGATTAATTACACTGTGGGTTTGCACACTGAGCTGTTTCCAGACGCAACAGATATTGATGCTGACCCTTTTCAGGACCTTGCTCTTCCCCAGTCCAGCCTTCAGTTCTGATCAGAAGTCCCCAGGCTCAGACCTGTTCCTGTCATTCTTCTCCACCCCAAAGCCAAGCTTACAGCATCACTGGCCAAAGTCCCCAAATCAATTCTGCTATGTGCTTCCCTTGCCTCACCTCCATCACTCTCTGCATTGTAAAGGCCTGAGGAGCAGCTGCTGTAAAGCCACTTCTCCCCAACTATAGAGCAGGCTGGGGCTCTGCCTGGCTGTCCCCATCCAACACAGAAGCCACCAGGGCCCTGTGGTTACCAGCAGATTTTCTGAGCAGCCCTCCCTGGCAACCCTAGGTGCTAAGGCAAGCAGCCAGTGACATCCCAACTGTCATTGCAGAAGTAGTGCCTGAACGCCAGACCTTTTTTGCCTGTTGCAGGGGCTCCTGGGGGACCACCACAGGCACCAGGCTGTGCCATGGCTCATTGCAGAGGAGGAATTTGAGACCCTAACTCTGCAGCTGTCAGAGGACCCTGCCCAGCTCCTGACACAGTGGTACCAGCAGGATGAGAATGCATTGCCCACCTGCTACATGCTGCAGCCAGCTGCTGGGCAGGCCTGGCTGTGCCTGGAGGGATGCTTGGCCTCAGTGCTGTGGGTGGCAGCCCAGAAGGCAGAGAGGCGTGGGCTGCTTGGCCCGGAGCAGAGGCACCACTACCACAAATCAGGTATGTTCTGGCAAGGTTGTCACGTCCTAACTAGAGCTGTCAGGGAGGATAGTGGTTTGTTTCGAGACAACATCAGATTGTCTACATCAGGAAAGATGCAGGAAGAGACTTGCTAACTATCTGCTACATCCCGAATCCTGAGGAGGGACGTTGGTCCTGACTAGCAAACAGTAATACACCAGATAGAAATGTTTCTCCTTTTCCCCCACCTCCCTGACCACATCCAGGAGTATGGCTAGCTCAGAGGACATGGGGACTGCCAACTTGCTGGCATCGTGTGAAAGTTGGCATCGTGTGAAATACAGAAGGACCAAGGGATGTCACATTAATGTTGATGGATGGCTTTTCTGTGTTCTGTTCTGAAACTGAATGCTCACATCTCCCTTTTTTTTTTGGTAGTGATTGAATGGGAGATTGAACAGGGTCTCCTCAATACCAAGGAGGGCAACCCCAGGGCTATCATATTCCTCAGAGAGGCTGAGGATTCCCACAGACAAATTGGGCAAGTGACAAACAGTGAGCTGTTAGAAAAAGAGGGCAATCTGGAGAGTGAAGAGAAACAGCTGCTCAACAACCTTAAAGCAAAAATTGCAAGCCATCATCCCAAACACCTCAAAGTACATACACTGGCATACAGTAAAAACTCTGGGAACCCTCAGCATAAGAATAACAAATACCTGAAAGAACTCTGTGAGCAGTTCACTGCTGTTACTCATCACCAGGTTTTAGAGAATGTTCAACACCACGGACAGATCAGTGAGGAGCCAGGGCGACTTCTGCAGGAGCTGGGCCACCACACAGCTCTGTGCCTGAAGCACTGCAAATTTTCCTGTGGGAGGCAGAATTTATTGGATAACATTTGTTCACTGTATTAGGCAGAACAATGATAAAACCCACACAACCCTCATCCTTTATGGGCCACGGGCTGTGGAAAAACAGCCATGATGTGCAAACTATCTGAGTGGGTGCAAGCTGCTTTAGGGCAAGATACCATAAGCATGATTTGTTTGCTGGGGACATCCCAGCTCAGTTCTGCCATTCACAGCCTGCTGAAGGACATTTGTCTTCAAGTGTGTTTAGCATTTGATTTGCCACCACCTCCAACCCAGACCAAAGAGGCTTGCAGTGATTTAGTCTTGTTCTTCAGCAAACTCCTCCTCACTGTCTCCCACTGTGGCACACAGACACTGGTGGTGTTCCTTGACTCTGTGGAGAGATTGCTTCCTGGTAACGGTGCTCACAGATTCCACTGGCTCCCTACAGATTGCCCTCCAAAGGTCCACATCATCATTTTCATCTCCACAGCAGAGCCTGATACTCTCAAAGCTCTCCAACCTGCTGTGCCTGAGGCTGAAGCATACTTTGAAGTAGGACCCTTGTCCAGTGAGGAAGGTGAGGAGATGCTAGAGATGCTCTTAGCGTCAGGCAGATGACGGCTAAGCCCAGCTCAATGGGCCTATTTCTGCCAGAGCTTCCCAAGTGGTGTTTTTCAAGCTGGCCTTCCACGAGGCCAGAAAATGGGCATCTTACACTTCACCTTCAGAACTTACAATTGCTAGCACAGTCTGGAACGCCATGCACCATCTATGTGAGAGACTGGAAAAGTCACACAGCACGGTCCTTGTGGCTCATGTGCTTGGCTATGTTGCTTCCTTACGGTGAGTACTGCTGTATCTCTGATGAAACAGCCCGTATTTCCTGCTGCTTATAGGGAATTTGTCTAAATACAGCCAAAACCAGTCAACGCTCTCTGTTATTTGAGCCTGTGAATGTGCTCATAAATATATTTGGCAAGCATAACGTTCCTCTCATACCTGGTAGCCTACCTAAAATATTGTCTTAGAGGGAGATGTTCTGGGATTACTTGGAAAAGGAAATCTACCTCTGTTTCTTACACCATTTTTAAGCTTTCAGCTGAGACTGCCATGTATGCATGTGAGCTAGTGAGATTTTTTGGTGACTAGTACTTCTGAACTGTCAGAGAAACCACTCACCCTTCCACTATTGATATCAGTGTAAACAGGAGGAGGATAAATTTCCTTTCATATCTCACACTGCACTTACAGAAATGGGGTGTCAGACATGGAGTTGAAGGACATTTTATCCCTTGATGATGAAGTTCGCTCAGAGATTCACCACTGCCACCTTCCTTCAAGTAAAACTATCCTGCGCCTTCCTCCTGTACACTGGGCATGGCTACACAGTGACATGAGAGAGTGCCTGGCAGAGCAGAAGGCAGGTGGCTTCATCCTTCTTGGCTTTGCACAGGTACTCTTAGAGGGCAGGGAATGAGAAGCCAAACCTTTGAGTATGGGATGTTCCCATCCTGGGCTTTCGGGCACCCTGCCTGGACTCCCCTCTGTTCTTAAGCTCTGTCAGTGCTGAGGCTCACAGAAAAGACCAGCTGTAGCTCCCTTTGCAGTACACCTATGACTTTTTCCCTTCCCAGGCTATTTGTTGAAATTTTGTACAGTCGTTATCTATCAAAACAAGACCAAATCAAGAGGCATTTCTGGCAGATTTCTTCAAGGGGACTTGGAGCTGGGAAATGAAGAAACCTCTTAATTTCCCACATCTTAGCAGGACTTTGAATGCTGACAGGAAGGTGAGGAATATCTGCAGTCATTTCCATACCTGTAACCTCTGGACCAGGGCTCTGTGTCTCCAGATTGCTGCACAGGGTCTGAAATCAGAAGACAATGGAAATAACAGTAAATGACACTATTTAGTGCTGGGAGGGAGGGAGGGAGGGAGGGAGGAAGGGAGGAAGGGAGGAAGGGAGGAAGGAAAAACATTTCCTACTAACAGGAAAACAATGAAAGCCCTGGAAGTGCTGTCCAGCATACCATGAGATAGCATCTAGCACTTACATTGCGAAAGCAAACAGATTTATCTACAAGCCGTGTCTCAAATCCACTGCTCTGGTTACTCCTAGGTAGCCCCTCAGCCACTCTGGTTCTCCGATACTGTTGCAAATCTGAGGAAGTTGAATGAATTGCCATTTCATTTACTTAATGCTGGAGGAACTGAGGAGCTACAACGGGATGTGCTGGGTAAGTACTGGGCAAGAGAGGGTATACGGTGCTCTGCAGAGGCGTGCTTCATGCCTACAGCCACAGGTAAGATTCATCCCTCTGCACAGCATCAATAACCACTCTGAGAAGGAAGCTAGAAAAAAGAGAGATAAGGCTAACTTTTACAAACTGTTACCCTAGAAATAACACCAGACTCCTTTACTAGCTGAAAGAAAATATCTAGATCCTCCAAATACTGAGAAGAAAACATACTTAAAAACCTAACAAATTAAAAAAACTACACAGAGCATTTAAGAGGCTAAAGAAGGAACTGTGACAACAGGAGACCTCCACTTCCTCAGCAAATAAGTCCTAGTTCCACTGCTAGTGGCTGTTAATCTTTCTATTCCTTTCCTCCCCCAAAAAAGCATTTTTTATCTCAGTCTTCTCAGGATAACTGCATTCTCAGGACTGATGTTCTCTGCTCTAATAGTATTACTTTCTGCAGGGAATATGAACTGGATCAGCTGTAAGACAGTTGCCTCTGGAATAGACAGTGTTGTTGATGACTTTGCCATGTGTACATATCAGCTGCTCAGAATTACGCCTCATGCAGGACACACTTCTGCTTCTGAAGCCAGCAGCCAGCAGTGTACACAGCCCTGAAGGTATCAGCTATGTCAGAGTGACACAAATGTCTACCAGAGGAAAGAATTGGTATTTTCAATTCCAAGTAAAAGTAATTTCCTGAGAAATTACAACCAGTGACAAAAGTCTCTGTTCTGGGATCCATCAGAAGACTCATAAATGCCTCATTCTGGTAGGGCCTCTGCATGGGAAGTCGAGGTTTCTTCTTCACCAACAAACATTTTGTCTCTTTGATTAGAGCAGTTTACCACAACCAAAGCACCTGTTGCCTCACATCTAGTAAAAGTATTTGTTAGCAATCTGGATACCCTTGCAGCTTTAAAGCTAACTAGAGCAGAGGGTACACAGTGCTGCTCCTCTCTCTTCTCCTCAGAATACCCACTCCTCTCTGAGGGGAAAAGTCCTGCACACCATTACATGTGTCCGTGTTTTTAGCATTCCCCATGTTATTCAAGTTCCTGACCAGATAATGCCAGCTCAGTTCATTACATACTGTACATCACATAAAATACAACTATGGTAGCTCTCACAGGCTCACCACAGTTATGTTCTAAAATGCTTTTTCATCTCCGTCCTCTTAGGACTGAGTATAATATACACAGACGTGTTGGCCAGGCTGCTGGTTTTGGTGCCTTCTTACCCAGAGGTAATCTGGAAGCTGTGCCAGCAGAGTCTGAGCTGGTGCAGTGTCTGTCCCTATCCTGTTCTCATTCCCCTGTGTGGATTTCTGCAGCCAGCTGGTGGGCCCCTACACACCACGATCACTGGATTCCTCGAAGGTAGGATTAGCCCCTGGAGACAGATACAGCCCAAGAATATATCTCATCATTCATCTGTTCTGAATAGGATCCAAGAAACATAATAAACAAACAGAACAAAAAGGAGAGAGCACCTGTTTCTGGAGAAATACAGTTTTGCCTGTGGGCTTAGACAAAGGCAGGATAAAGGCCCATTTGCCTTCGTGCTCAGGCATGCACCAACCCCATTCGTGACTGCTTCAACAAATGAGGATAAAGTGGGTCATTTTGTCGTCAGGACAACAAAAGCACACACTGACCTAGATATGTCCGAGGGAACCTAATCTTGCTCTTGGCACAGACTACGGGGTTCAGACAGTACAGGGGGGTTCCAGTTGGGGAAACACAGCATATTAATGATCCTAAATGTCTCTTTTTTGTCTGTAGTATCAAGAACAGCCTTTCCTCTTTGTGTCTCACAGCAGGTGTCACAGCGATGGCACTTAGTTCTGATTACCGGCTGCTGGTGGCAGGTTCCCAGGATGACTCAATGCTTGTCTGGAATATGGAAGTTTTTGAGATGCTGCATGCCCTTCCTGGGCACTCTGGTGAGCCCTCTCCACTTTTTATGGTTGGAAAGTTCTTTTCACCTCTGAAAAGAGCTGTGACAGCTTGGCAATCATTGAGCTGTAGGCACACAGACATCTCCCAGCTGCCAGCATTCTCCGAGTTGCTGAAAGCACTGGCAATGCCTCATATTGTGAATCCTCATCTTATTTTACAGCTGAGGTGAGGTGTGTGAAAGCGTTTGGAAAAGGAACCTGTGCTGTTTCAGCTGCCATGGATCACAGTCTGCACATCTGGAATTTGATTTCTGGCAGAGCAAGGTTTGTTATCCAGGATACACATATTGAAGAACAGCCCTCACATCACCTTCACGTGGCTGAAGCGCGCGTGATTGTATATTCTTCCTCAGATACAAAGGTACAGCCAGTCTTTAACTTAAAGTGTGCTGAAAGAACAAGAACTTTAGAAGTTACAGACACAACCACAAAGGTTGTAGACAGAAAAGCTACCACAGTCCTCACTACTCCTATCCCTTTTGCCATCTCTTCACTAGATCAATGCTTGACACCTGGAGACAGCAGAACTCATCTTCCAGATTTCTGGCAAGGCGTCAGATGCATGGCTGTGTTCTGCAGTGTTCAGCCCAAGGCTGGGGATCATTACTGTGTCTGGAGGAGGAACGCTGAGCCTGTGGAACAGCAGCACTGGCGAGCTGAGATCCAAACGGCAGCTGTCAGGGCTACAGGAAGAAACACCAACTTGCAGTGGGGGATCTCTATCCATGGTACACCTCTAGCTGTTTAGCTTTCTTATATTTCTTGTATTTTCTTATAACATCCAGAGGTTTACTGAACCAGACAACAGATGTCACCACCAACTGGCTTTCCTTCTCCATTCTGAATAAAGCATCCTTTTCAGACTTCTATATCCTAGTTCCCAACTGGACACACATAACATTTTCCATCTTTCTGCACCTTATAGCTCTGCACAACACCATGCAGCCAAAACAAATTTAACTGCCAATCTATCCTCTTTTCTTCAGGAGAGAGGCAGCTCAGCTATCCTACCTTTGTGTCTTACTCTTGCCTTATTTTTGTGCAGATTTCTTCTGATGGACACAGTCTGCTAGAGAAGCTTCCTGGAAGGGTTTGTTTTGTGGTGGCATCAGAAGATGAGTCTATTCTTGTTGCAGGTTCAATAGTGCCCATTCCTTAGGAAAGTGTTGGTAATAGCTGCTCTCACACACGCCTGGTGTCCTTGAAAAGGGGTCAGCACGTGGATTTTCCCATTAGCCTGGCCTTATTCAACTATTGTGCTTAAGGGGGTCGCAAAGATCGGGTGAAAGTCTCTTTGTTGAGGGCGAGGACATTGCCTGTGTACCAGGAGCCCTTTCTCAAGGGAATAAGTGAGATGTAAGCAGTGAAAAGGACTTAAATTGGCATCATTATTTTTTAGGGTTCCTAAGCTACCCTTTGGGCTTACCTTTAAAGAAATATAGGAAATAAATCATATGCATAAGAACATGGTGTTGAAGGGGATTAACAACTTCCTCAGCCCAATAACTAACTAACATTTTGTTGTTCTAGGCTTTGGGGCGTATGTGTGGGTATACCTGGCAGCCTCAGAAGGATTCTATAGGTTGCTGGCAGCAGATTTGGAACACGAAGGAGTGGCTGCTATCTCTGCTGGCAACAGCATTATTGTTACTGGTTCTCAGACTGCATCTATTTGGGTAGGAAGGAGGCTAGGCAGCTTCCCAGTCAGAAACATCTCTTACAAATCCACCTTACAGAACATGGCCTCGATCCAATAAGGGGGTTATCTTCATTGCCAGGAACCTGTGTGGGGGTTGCATTAGCAGTTCTGAAGATGTTTTGAGTACTGCCACACTTCTAAAAAGATGATGATGACCATTGATCCTTCTCTTTATTGCTTGAAGTCTTTCTGTTCTTTTATTTTTTGACAACGAATGGAGAGCCCTTTATCAATTCAGAGTGCCAGCCTCAAGCCAGAGTATGTCCAAGACTTGAAATACAATTTCATTTCTGAAATGTTTTAAATTTGAACTCCTAAAAGCTGCCTTGTTACCCATCTGAGCAGGAGCCAGATGGAATACACAGCATCTGGAGCATCATCTCTTGCCAAAGAAGGAGGTAAACAGTCAGTACAGTCCAAAATATGCAGGATCTAATTAGAGACCTTTCAGAGCAAAGGAAGCAAGTGGCCTGAATGGCTCCAGGTGCTTTAAACATTTGTTCTGGAGTAAGCTGGCACCAGTAGTTACTCAGTGTTTTGCCTTCCAGTATTAAGATGCTATCCTTTGACTTTGCTTATGTTACAAGTTACTTAAGGTGTATTGTTTTACCTCTTAAACAGGACTAAAGAAAGAGTAACGCAGGCACTGATGACTTCTCCCTGCCCAAATTTTTCACAGGTGTGGCATTTATCAGACCAGGGGCTGCTGACTGACACACTGGATGGCATGGGAGCACCAGTAACACTCTTAGCCCTGTGCGACTGCATTTTCGTTTCCATCTCCCTCAGCACACCTGCACCTACAAGTGTGGAACCTCACCTACAACCAGCAGCAGAAAACCTTGGCACCTGGCCCAAATGCAGGCTGGGCCGCCCTGTCCCATGGGGGGAACTACGCCTATTTTAGCCAGCCTGAAGACAGACAGAAAGTTGTCATCTGGAACACCACAGAAGGTGAACTGCGTCCCAGAAACACTGCATTAAATTAAGCCTGCATACGGGGTAGGAGAGAACCAAACCAACTCACAGAGGCAGCAAAGGCAGGGTTAGCTTTCTGAGCATATGACAAGCACGCTCTGCTCCTTTCTGCCTTTTCTAAGCATGAGATTTAGGAAAATCTGTTTCAGGCTTGGAAAGCTTTTTAATCTCCTCTCCAAAATTTTTGTCTAGAATAGCTTATTATTATGATATAGGAAAATTGAAAATACAAATAATATGCAAATAATTTCACAAATAAAGAAGCCAATCATGAGACCTATCTGAGAGAAGACATTCATATGTAAGAACAGTCTTGCTGATTCCCTTCTGTTTTAGAGGTGAGGTGTGTGACACACTGGACACCTCTGCCCGAGTGAGATGCCTGGAAATAGCGGAACAAACCCAGCTCCTTTTCACAGGGCTGATATCTGGAACAGTCCTTGCCTTTCCACTGAACTCCAGGCAGGATGTAGCATGCATTTCACCTCCAGAGTCACAGAAACCAGTCAATTATATGGCAATCAACAAGCAGGAAAAGCAGCTTGCCGTAGCATACGATGATTTAGTCCTTGTGCTGGATACTACCCCTGCAGATCCTTGCCCAGTGATCGACAGACCCGCCTACACCTTTAAAACGCAGATCCCTGCCTCGATTTCCAGAGTGGCTGTCCTTGCAGATTACAGAGCCCTCTATGGCACCACTAGCGGGGACTTAATCCTTTACGACTGCCCTCGGGCCCAAGTGTTTCCTTTGGAAGGTCACAGAAGCCAGATCTCCTGTTTGGAAAGCAGCCATGGAGAGCAGCAGGCACTCAGCGAATCTGAAGATTCCCTGCAGTGCCTCTGGGTAGGAACACATGCGTTATTATAAGGTACCATGGTGGTAAGAGGGTGTCAGTAGTCGATTACTGCCCTGAGCTGTCAGGGGAGATCCAACTGACAGGATTCCCAGCTCTCAGAACACCCAAATCTGGTCTGTAACTGTTCAGGCCGACAAGCAGCAAGCTATTCTCAGCATCTAGGTCTGATTTTAAAGCATCCTTACTCCAGATACACTGACAAGGTGTCAGTACTAAGTGAACGAGTGCTGTTAACACCACTCTGACACTAACTGTAAGTCAGAGTTATTTATCTACAGCTCATTACTGCTCATATAGCTGGTGTAAGCCAGATGAAAGAGAAGAGTGAAGAGAATGAGACTTCACAAGTTAACAATAGCAACAGAAAGGGGAAATTGGGCCAGCTCAGGAGAATCCAGTAGGGGGGAAAAAAAAGTGGTGAAGAAGGCTGGGTCAATGTTGTTACTCTTTCACCTGACAATACACCACAGGTGCATCTGAGCTACTCCTTTCCACAGGTGGAATATTTTTTTATATTTCCCATCCTTCTTCCAGGATCACTCTTCTAAAAAAAATCTTTATTTATTACCTCTATTCTTAAGCATTGAACAATCACTGAATGCTCTATTGCATCTTCACCCAGCCTGTATTTACCAGTGTAATAATCTAACCCTAACCATCCTTTTTCAGCCCAGGTCTCTCCTGAAAGGCATTTGCTGTGCTTGCTCTTCAAAAGACGGTAAGTATTTGTACACTGGGGCACTGGATCAGTCCATTACAGTCTGGGATGTTGCAAGTGGTGAGTAATTGTGAAATACTAACAACTACGAGGAAGTCTGTACTCCTTCCTGCATTAAATGGGCTTGTAGCATCCTTCATGTTGTAAGGAGGGAAGTGTGCATTACTGAAGCAGTGTATGCAAATACCAGAACAGAAGTGAGAAAACTGAACCCAGAGGCAGCACATTGGCACTGGGAAGCTGCAATTGCAAGATTACAGTTGGAGCATGGCAGCATAGAGCACAGAAAAACATTCGGGGTTCAAATATCAGCAGGGAGTTTAAGGGCAAAGCAAGAAAGGTTTTTGTAAGTGTCTATTATGCAAATCATCCGTAAAGCTCTAAGGAGAAACAAGCAGCATGGCTTACGTTTTACCCTCTCCTTGCACTTTCTGTGACCCATTTTTACTGAGTTTTAGATCAAAAATTGAACTGTCACATACCCAGTTTTAGTTCAAATTGCCTGGTGACAAGGGACCATTTGAGGGAAGTGGCCCCTTGATCCTACTACACAGCAAATGCTTTATTCTAAGCTTGGTTTCCGCAGGTGCCATGCTGGCTGCACAGTGTGTATACACAACCCCTAACAGAATTGTACCAACTGCAGGTGGATTTGCTGCAATAACAAAAGCCGGTTATATAACCCGTGAGACGTTTCACTGCCCTAAGACTGCCCCTCCTGGGTATAACCCACTCCAGAACTTCACCGCGATGTGTACAGTAAAATCCAGAAAGAAAGACAGGGAAGACTCAAGCAAGCAACAGAACAACCAAGGAAACTCTTCTGGAAGCCCGATTCATACCAGCAAGATCTCTCAAACCTGTTCAGTAGTGTAAAAAGCCAAGATGAACAGGATAAACCAGCATAAACACCCAGGGCTGACCCTGTGGGTTTCTCTTTCTGTCCTTTTGGCTTAGTGTCTCAGCATTACAAATATTAAACATAGCTGAAAACTCCCTCACTGCGGTTATTCAGAGCCTATTGATACCTTGGCACAATCCTACTGTTGTCATGTGCCACAGGAATAACCATCTAAGAAAGGTAAATAAGAGAAAAAGAAAATAAAAATAAAAATAAAAAAAAAACCCAACCCTAAACCCACATTTTATTCAAATACACCGGAGTAGGTCCCAGAGCCCGGCCTTTCCGCCAGTGGGCCCTCAGCACTGCGGCCTTACCGCCCCACGTCGCAGCGCTCCCTTTCCCCCGAGGGCCACCGGATCCCGGCGCAGAGGCACCAGGGATTTGGACCGCTGCTCAGCGGGGCTCAACTCCAACCCCGGCACCCCCGAGTTCCTCCAGCCCAGGCCGCGCTCACC